AATGAGTTATAATTTCAATCTATAGCTACATGTGTAGCTGTATTAAATTTGTATGCATGTTATTTCATGACATTAACAGTATTGAACAGTTAGTGACCCGTGTGCCTACATTGTTTATCTAAATGTACTACACTGTAGTCTCCGAAGAATATCATTGTCGATCTTAATAGACCAATTTGAAATAAATATAATTTAGTTTTTATGCAATAATGATAATAATAATAATGCAGAGATGTTTGAAAATGTTATAAATTTAAGAAAATAAAATATATTATCTCCTTTTTTCTCAGTTTAAAGATTTTATTCCACATCATTGTGCTCCCGGGGAATGATTTAAAGAAATGTGACCCTAAACTATATGCAGGGAGATATGGTTGCATATAAATATGTATAATTAATTAATATATATAAATGTAGCATAAGGGGCATAGTCTCTGTTCTTTGGATAAAAAAAAAATATTATTGTACATTATGACCTCTAATCTGTTCCTATAAATGTTGAAAGAAAAATTTTTTATAAACTTTGAAACTCTAAACTCCAACATAAGCCCCAATTACCAACACTTGAATAAACTTACTTCTACACTTCTTGTGCATATTACTATGAATTTTTGTATCCCTATGTTCTTAAGAAGATTTTCAAATATTTTTCCACAACATTATACCATAAATTTTTGAACTCCTATTAAGCCCCCGGCCTCTAGGAACCATGATTTGAAGAAATTTAAAAATACAATAACACTTAATCAGGAAGTTTTTATTCAAGTTGTATCTTTTCTCTTGGAACCTAATAATTGCTTCATGTGGATTCATGTTGTTTTGATACTTATTCATTATATATGCTAATACCCCTTCCATTATATGCTGAACTCTGCTCTATGATGATACGTTGACATGAATTATACTTTTTTTATATAATTACTTACAGTAGACAGCACTAAATTAGTGGACAATAAACTAGCTCTTTTCCATCGTCAACTTTCCTTATTTATGCAGTATAATATTATACTATCACCTGCATATGGTGTTTTTTGTTTCCCAACTTATTTGATACGCAAGGACTGGCTCTAGATAGGCTACTAACAAATAAGTTGATGTTAAGGAAATTTTAAGACAACCTCGTTTAAAGTCATAATTTAGAAAATTCTATGATCGTTATAATGACCTTGTTTAGAAATACAACCTTTTGCTTTACATGTTTCGTACCTAAATGTATTGTTAGGCCATTGATTTTATACTTAATTTGACAACGGATTACTGATCAATACAGAGGACTCACAATGGGTGTGAACGGTCGTCAGAGGATGCTTAATCCTCCTAGGCACCTGGTCACATCTCTACAGTTTCCAGGAGTCGACAGTATTTTATGCCCTATTCACAAATTTATAAAGTTTTTAGGAATTTTTGAGATCGATCAGAATTCGTTATCTTCACCTTTTTCACTATAAAAAAGATGATTTGAGTCTTTGGCTCAGCGGGTTAATCAATACTCTGAAAACCATAACGCATATTATATATTTTGACCTTGTCAATAAATATGAAAATAATGAATCTACACTACGCAATTATACATTTGTACTATTTATACACTATTTTTTTTCTTCTGCATCTATTTGCGTTACGTTACAGTACTTAGCATTATAAAGGGTAAAACCATAAAGAGACAAAGGGACAGTACCAGTATCTTGATCAAACGACCTCACTAAACTTCTAGCTCAATTTAGATAAACATTGATTTCTCTCTCATACATACAATTTTAAACAGATATCGCATGAACTTATTCATTACAATTCAAAACGTTTACTTTCATTTGACAAAAATAGCGCTATCATATTCCAGAAAGTTATATCAGGGCATCGTCAATATTAATTAATTTATACCTTAACTGATTGCTGTTCACGACAATTTTCTAAATATGTAAATAATTAAATAATATGAAATAGAATTTATCAAAACCTTTGATACAGTCAGAACAGTTGCAATGTTATTTTCAACACTGAATATATGGCCAGGACACATCACATAGAATATATTAAGGAAAAAAAACGAACGAAAGAATTTTTAAAAAGTATATTTTTTCATTGTTTTAGCTCACATGTGCAAAAGACTAAAATGGGCTTCTCTGTTCAGCACTTTTAAGTCTTTTATCCATCTGTAATTCGGTGTCTATCATCCGTTAATTTTTCACATTTTTTTTTAAATTTATCCAGAACCATTGATCAAAGTTGAGCAAAACCTTCCACAGAGCATTATCTCGAAAGAATAAGCAATTCAGAATGGCAGTATCTGTCATGGCTTTATTCTTGTTTAACATTATAAGGTAATTACATAATCAAACAATGGTATGAAAACAATGGACAATAATCAAGTATTATAGCAAGTGTCAATGAGTAAGCGCCGATCCTCAATCTGGCATTTGGCGCATACAGTTTGCAGAAATGGGGAGCCATATGGTGCTGACAACCCTGGAGGGTAAACAGAAGTTGCCAGCGATGGCTTGTTGCAAAATTCTGCAGTGCGCAGGCATGGATTGCAGGCTGGAAGGGTCACTAAAGCCATGACGATGGTCGATGTGGCACTGGAATCATAAAATGATAACAGCAGAAACACAGAAAAAGAAATACTACTATATGTATGTACATGTATAAAACTTATCTGACTAATGTGATGTATATGTATCTAAATGTGTTAAATGATAGGTGGGGATCTATGTAATGTTGATGTAGCCTAATATAACAACTAAGATGGTGGGGGTGGGTGGGTGTTCAAAATTGATGAAGCGGAAAGGATGTGCGCGCAAGCGCATTTAATGACCTGGGGATATTTGGGAAATTTGGTTGAAGCCGGGAGAGTTATCGCTCTTAGGCTATTCTTCTTCGATAACTGGCACTTACTGCACATAGCAGTAAATGCAATTATCTCGAAAGAATAAGCAATTCAGAATGGCAGTATCTGTCATGGCTTTATTCTTGTTTAACATTATAAGGTAATTACATAATCAAACAATGGTATGAAAACAATGGACAATAATCAAGTATTATAGCAAGTGTCAATGAGTAAGCGCCGATCCTCAATCTGGCATTTGGCGCATACAGTTTGCAGAAATGGGGAGCCATATGGTGCTGACAACCCTGGAGGGTAAACAGAAGTTGCCAGCGATGGCTTGTTGCAAAATTCTGCCAAGTGGATTGCTGTACGCGAATTTCGAGACAGCAATCCATCCGCCAACAAGTGGCGGAAAATTTGGCAAACAAGACATCATGTCTAATGCAACACAATAATTAGCAAAACAATTCAATGCAATATACAGGGTAACAACAATGTGTAATTTGGCAAAACAATTCAATACAACATACCAATATGTCATCAAGCATGAACTGAGGGGGAAAATGGGGAGGGGGGGGGGTTGTTGGGGAAAATGAGGAATGCAATGCACATGTGTCTACTATCAGAAATTGGGGGGGGGGGGGGGAATGGCATAATGGGGCCATTTGCAAGCCATGAACAGATACTGCGTTAAGGGAGGATAGGGAAAACTTTTTGACTTGAAGTGAGAAACTTGGACAATGCCGTTTGAATTGTAGTTGTGAAAATAGAATTCCCAAGATCTGATAGATGTACGCAATCGAGGAATAATTTGGGCTGATCTATTTTAATATCAGGATGACGTATGAGGGCCCCATTTAACTTCTGAACAACAAAGCAGCCAATAGAATTATTTATTCTTTTTCTAGATTTCTCTGCAGCTTCGCTGGAAATCATGTAACGCCAGTATTTGCGAGGGAGTATATTTGACCATACTAGAAGTGTGTTTGGTAATTTTTTATGAAGGGAGGCTAATAATGCCTTCATGGCTAGTTGTAGTTTTTTAAGGGGCTGAAGGCCAATACTGTTACCGCCACAGTGAACTATTAGCATTTGAGGCATGATATCATTATGACGATTTATCAATCTGGCAATGTGTTGATCAAGTTGCTCCCATTTTAGTCCCCCAGATCCAGACCAGGTAACATCTATCTTTAAGTGCTCCAGAGACAAGTTTTGGCCAATTGTTGAACGTATGCAGTAATCTTCGGCTCGTCTGATAATGGAAGATCCAACGATCCATACCTTGCAGCAAGTCCCTGCAAACTTAGCTTACAGTTAGTAAGACTGACTATTTACAGGACTACAGCATTCGGGCGAACATAGGACTTGAAAGCATTGGATTTCCATCTACCCATTGTTTTAATTTCTTGCTCTGGAGTACCTTGCATATACAATGAAGTTGCCGCCCCTATGCGAAATGAATGGGATTTGAATGTTGATGTGTCAAGCTTGAGGAATGATAGAACTTTCTTTAGTACTTGATTGAATTGATAGTATGTCATGGGCGAGCCATCCATGTGACATAAAAACTGAGATGTTTGAGTTTGTGATGGTCTATGGGTCATGTAAGCTTGTATGTTGTGAAATAGGACCTGATTTTGCTTTGTGCTGTTAATTTGCATTGTTGTGCCCTTGCCATGCTGATCTGTTTTGGTTTTCCCTAATGTGATCAGTATGGATGATTGTGATATGGATACGTTTTGTATTGACAATGGGGAACTGGGGGGGTTTGCCTTAGTGGAAGTTATCTCCCCGACTCTAAGTAAAGCAAAGAATGCAAGGCCATAAGCAGAGGAGAAGAGTAATTTCTCGTAATAATTTCGGCATACGTGTTGCAAGGAATCTATTATCTTAACTAATAGGGGAAATGTTATCGGGCTTCTTGAATCTTTTCTATGTTTGAGTTGTTTAAAGCCATGGAGCATTTTCTTGACTATGAAAAATTGACATGGGTCTGGGAAGTTACCTAGTTTTATGGTGAAGTTTAAGCCTGCTAGGTACGTTTTGGCTGTAGTGTATGTTGTCCCCTTTGATGATAGGTAAGCGATATAGTTTATTAATTGGTCTATGGGAGGGGGCCACAATTCCTTCAAGTTAAAAAGTTTTCTAAATTGTGAAAAAGAGTCGAGACCTTTCTGGTATATTTCTTGAGTGTTATGGGAGACTGATGCTCTGAGTAGCTGTTCTACTTCCTGCTCAAATGGTTCCAGAATTCCGGAGGAACTTGGCAGGGATAGTAGTCTGTGTGGGGGGCCAGCTTCCTGAACTTTAGCCACTGAAAACGAGATATGGCATCAGCAATAGAATTGGAATGACCTGGTATGTGTTCGCAGCGCACTTGGATATTGTATTTTAATATTTTGTAAAGAAAGGGTCTGAGAAGTGACATAACTCTTGGTGACTTTGATGTTTTTTGGTTGATTATCTCTACAACTGCCATGTTATCGATATGCAAAATTATTTTTCTGCCTTGGAGTTTGTGGCCCCATATGTAAATTGCAAGAGCGACTGGGACTAACTCCAGATAGGTTAAATCTCTACAATCCTGATGTGACCATTCTGAGGGCCATTGTAGGTAGGACCATTGTGAACCAAATATGACCCCACATCCGAGTGAGCCGGAGCTGTCAGAGGATATGTGGATAGTGTCCTTATCTGACCAACGCATATCTGGGAATACAGTAGTGCCATTGAAGTCGGACAAAAACTCGAGCCATATAGCTACATCTTCACGAAGTGCCCTTGATATAGTGATATAATGATATTTTTTGTGTCCCTGTGATAGGCTATCATAGAATCGTCTACAAAAGGCTCTCCCGGCAGGTATTGCCTTGGAAATAAATGCCAGGGATCCGACTAATGATTGCATTTCTTTTAGTGTAATTTTGCGACGCGAGGCAACATTCTGAAGTTGGGCTTTAAGGGCGTCAAGTTTATCTTTAGGGACAAAGATGGTTTGGTTGCTGGTATTGATCCCTAACCCTAGAAACGTTAAACATGTTGTAGGACCTTCGGTTTTTTCCTCTGACAAAGGAACGCCGAGTGTTTCGCAAATTATGTCAAACGTTTGCATGAGGTTTTTGCACACAAGGGTGTTTGCGGGGCCTGCAAAAAGGAAATCATCAAGGTAGTGGACTAATGTGTCAATTTTGGCTCGATCTTGTACGATCCAATGGAGGGCTGTTGCAAATTTTTCAAATGTGGCACAAGCTATAGAACATCAAAATGGGAGGCATTTATCGAAATAATAATTTTTAAAATGAAAGCCAAGCAGGGAAAAGTCTTCTGGGCGAATAGGAAGGAGTCTGAATGCACTAGAAATGTCTTTTTTGCCTAGTAGGGCACCCTGGCCCAGTTCTTTTATCATTCTTACTGTCGAGTCAAATGATGTATAATGAACAGTGCATAGATCTGGGTCAATAAAATCATTAACGCTATTTCCCCCAGGTGCAGATAAGTTACAAATCATACGCCAACCCCCCTGCTTTTTGGGAACAATACCTATTGGGCTGCACTTGATATTTGACATGGGAATATTTTTGAAGGGCCCAGCTATTCTGCCTAATTTTACCTCTTGATCGATTTTTTCTTGAAGCTGATGTGGATTTGTCTGCGCAGATTTCATGTTTTTAGATTTTTGAAATTCCCGAATACCCGAATAGTGAATGTTGAAACCAGCTTGAAAACCATTGATCAATTCATGAGCTATGTGTTGTAATGGGTAACTTTTAAGCATTGATTTTAAGATGTTAACGTTGACTGGTGTTGGAGCCAAGTCCCAGAGGCCTTGGGTGGTTTGGAGGGAGCCCTCTACCCTGAAATCTGCTTGGGGGCTGGCGGGTTTGTTCTGCTTGGGACAGTCGAGAGCTCTCTGTGCGAAATGGCTGATTGTTGTGCCAGCGGCAGTTTATGAGTGGGTGACTATTGGAGCATTTTATGCATGCATGTTGATAAGTGCAGTATGGTCTGCCGCATGTACCTTTGTAATTGAAGTCAAAGCATTTGGGTGATTTAGATGTATGATTAGGTGCTTGCTGGGATAGGGTGGTTTGGCCATGGGTCACATACAAAAGCCACAATTCTGCATCGACAGACCCCCAGTCCAGTGTGTGGTTTCTAGATCGCTTTAACCTGAACTGTACGTCGTAATTGAGCCAGTTTAAGTTTGTTGATCGCTGCGCAGCAGTGCGTATGATGTTAATGTATTTAAGTATTGACTGAATGTGTTCTGGGAACTTAGTTAGGTATATGCTTGTAAATATTAGGAATGCGTTTGTCCATGTTTCTATTGATGTTATTTTGATTTCCTTATGTTTGGGTTTCAAGACTAGTTCACCATTAACAAATGCCAGCTGTTGCTGGGGCTCGTCATTTGGTTTGAGGGGGAGCAATTTGTGCAGGTGAATGAATGCATTATCAAAGATATTTTGCCTCAAGCTATCCGAGACATGCACGCCCAAAGCGTCTGAAACGCTGTTTAAAGCATTTGGTGTATTTGTATAAAAATTGATATTAGTACATGATGCTGATGTACCTGCAGAGAATACTGAGGGGTCAGATGCTGCCATTATTGATGTAGCTGGTGCTGTCATCTCCGGAGTTTGGGTTGATAGAGCTGGTGCTGTCAAAGCTGACGTTTGGGCCGATGGAGCTGGTGCTGTCAACACTGGAGTTTGGGTTGATGGAGCTGGTGCTGTCGACGCTGGAGTGTGGTTTTCCTGGATGTCATGCTGAGTTGACACAACTGGTACTGTGGGTGCGGGTGTGACCTGGATCCGTCTCGTCGTAGTATTAGATATTTTCGCCTTTTTGGCGGCAGCTTGGGCGCGTCCGGGTCTAGCGTATGGTGATTTGGAGACTCTTTTTGTACGGAGCATTTTTCGATGTCCTGAGGAGCGATACTTATACAATACAATAATCCTCTTGATTGAGATAGGGCTGGAAGCTGATTTCTTGGCGATGTTCTCTGTTCAAAATTGATGAAGCGGAAAGGATGTGCGCGCAAGCGCATTTAATGACCTGGGGATATTTGGGAAATTTGGTTGAAGCCGGGAGAGTTATCGCTCTTAGGCTATTCTTCTTCGATAACTGGCACTTACTGCACATAGCAGTAAATGCAATTACTGTGTAACGAACATTTACATCTAAATTTGATTAACGAAGCACCATGCCTTTTTTCAAAGTATTTCTTTAAATTCAAATAATAGAGTTGGCATGATGCTAAAATGCAATTTTAATATTTTACATAATACTCAATCTCTTCTCTAGAACAGAAAAAAACAGCACATTATTTATATTAAAAACTGGCATTCCCATATTTTGTGTATCCAAATTTTGTTAAGTCCTGACCTTTCGGGCTAGTATGGGGCAACAAATTGGTCAAAATTTCATGGGAATATGAAGGGGAAAATCTATTAACTTTCTTCTTCTGACCACATTGCCATGGTGTGTAAGGTGAGCACTGTGGCCCATCAGTGTCTTATTAATTTTTTGTATCTGTTCTAGAGAATGGTTTCAGCTACCTTATATTAAGTAATAGGATCCATTCTCAATTTTTAATGAGATTTTTGTTCAAGTCAATATAAAAAAAATCCTTAAGTTTCCAAAAAATAATATTTGAGTACATTAAATAAAAAAATTTAAATAAAAAAGATTATTTACATTAAAATAATCAAAAAATATTTAAGATGAAAATTCAAGCATACTGTCTTGCATTATTGTTCAAAATTTACCAGTTACCTAGCTCAAGTTAAAAAAAAGTGTTTCAACGGTTTGACGGCGGAAGGGGGGATTGTTTTTGGAGCATATTTTTTACATCATTTTCACTGAATAAACTCACTTGATCCAGAACTGATTTATTATTTCCCAAATGTAGAACAAAAATTCTGTTTACAGACTCTCTGTAACTTTTTAGCTCTTATTTTTATTTCACCTAAATTTAAACATTTTACATAATGAAAAAAAAATTATCATTCTGATAAAATTGCACAAGCAATAATAGTTCCCAACCGGTATAGGCGGTAATTCCGTTAAAATTATTCAAGAAGAATGAAATGTAAACTTGATTCACTCATCAAGTTAGACTAACATACTGAAATTAAATTAATGCAAGTAAGTGTTCCGCAAGAAGTCCAGAAAACCAAGTGGGGCAGATTGACTGACAGATTGGAGGACAGCTGGACAGAAAAACAGACAACCATGGCTTAACAAGTGAAGGAGAGATCAAAATAAGAGTTTCATTTAAAAAAAAAAAAACCATCAACCATCTTTCATGTACAACAAGTTTCTTTCGATGTTCCTATACATGTATATTTAATCACTGTTCATTTCAAATTACAATTTCAAGCTTAAGGTGAAAAAAAAAAAAACGCTTTAATTACGAGGTTTCACTCGAATAACTGCAGGAGGGTTCGGTCTCAGCACAGCAGACTGTAATTTACGGTATTTAAATCCAGGGACTGGTTCAAAACGATATTGTCTGAGCAAAACAGAGAGCACTGTTTTCATTTCCATCATGGAGAACTTGTGCCCTATGCACATGTAGGGACCATATGAAAAGGGAAGAAATGTCATCGAGGCAACATTTTCCTGCTGCATAAAGCGATTTGGGTCAAATTCTTCGGGATTATCCCAATTCAATCTACAAAATCAATGATATCATCAGTCAGATTTTTGTTTGCCTGAGTACATGTTTACTCAATGTAAGCATTCAGAGCATTGTTTTGTCATGTAAATTTTGAATTTACCGTGTGGCAGTAATTTATACAAAATTTACAACATGATGGTTTCTTTAACTTGACAACCATTGTCCATGAACATGTTGCAAGCCTTATGATTAAAAAATTACGATTTTTATTTAAATTTTGAGATTGGCTATTTCATAGCCATAATCAAATATCCTGTCAGGATATACAGAAGAAAAAAATCATGATTATCAACATTATTATCAATTCAAAACAGATAATAATTATTGCTTAAGTTGCATCGGAATCATTTTTAGATATTATTCATTAGTTGCTTCACTAACCTTAAAAAATCTATACATGTATATCACACAGTTATATAATTTTCTATCCCATTTCCATTTAGTATTAAAAAAAATCATTCATTACTGGATAATCCAATGACAATACTTGAGCCAAAGAATGAAGGACAGATATTTAGTCTATTTCCCAGCCAGTTATGGAGTAGAAACATATTTTTGATAAGGTTTAATTAACAAATCAGCAAGAATCCTCTATTCAGAAGAGTATCTACTGGTTTTTTTTGTTGTTGTGATATCAACATTATTATACTACACTATACCTCTATTGAATGCTTTGCTTACCTGTGGAGTGCGCCAAAGTGCAACCCTACTACTGTTCCTTTTGGAATGTGGTAACCTTTAAAATTGTCATCATCTAAAGCAGTTCGGAATATTACAGGCAACACTGGAAACAACCTATAAACCAGAATTCTCTGAGAAACTTAATGCTATAATACTACTTTGAATAGATAAATTTAACTAAAAGACAGTTGCAATTGAAATATTTCTGAATTTTACTTTTTTTTTTCATCAGACATCACCTCCTACAACTTTTGAAGAAGACAGAAACAAGCCTAATATCACAATAATTTAAAAGAATTCAAAAATTTTTCAGTTTTTTTTTTCTAACCTAAATTATAAGAATTACTACAATGTTAATTAAATTGATAAGTGAATAACATATACCTGAATTATATCTTAATGACGTCTACATTTGCATTAGGTTTCAATCATTAAAAAGAAGCTTCTCTTTAGAACTAAAACATATTGATCTACATGTACTTTTGGTTATTTGTTTTTCCAATGAAAAACAATGATCCTACATGTATTTTGTTCATGCATGACCCCTTCTAATATTCAACCAGTAGACCAATACATAATGCAAATTCCTACAGGAGGTACTTTCAACCATAATAATATCGTTCTATTTAAACAAAGTTGCATATTTAATTTGTTTATCATTAACTAAATCCATCATGCATATCTGATCATTTGACGAAAGGCCTCATTATACAATCCCTTAACAAATAAATTTGATCACCCGTTGCGTTGTGTAAATTTAATAATTCATGTGTTTTTTTTATTTTCAACTTTAGAAAAAAAAGACAACATGCAGAAAAATGGATTTATAACTTTTAAAGCAGACCTAAAAGGCCTACCTGATAGGCATAAATGTTCTTACTTGATACCCTTTTTATTCAGAGCACATATCAAGTCTTTAAAACACTGTAGGACCCATTAATGATTTAAAATTATCTAATGATACAATATAGCATTACCGGCAATTAATGAAACATTTATCATATAACAAAGAAATAAATGGAATTTTGTTTTCCAGAACTTGTATGAAAATTAAATAGTTTTTATCAACAGAAAATAAATTCAATGTCCCCACCTTAAATACTCATGCTACAATGTAACTCTAGAAATCAGGAATATTACACTTGTCAGTTTACCAGATTTTACCCAACATATCAGCAGAAGTGGATATGATACATGCCATACAATGAAAATCCTCATTTACAATAATAACCTATTTGCTCTTGTTTAACAATGTTAGTTTTTTTAAAGTTAACATGGAAAGAACACTTTTATACCTATACGTGTTCATTATGCTGAAAAAAATTGGTGCTAACATAAACTTTGGAATCTTTCTGATAACCACAGGCAAAGGCTTTGGAAATCTTTAGAAAATACAGGTTCCTTTCTTTTTTTCCAAATGATTAATCTTTTATCCCTTGTACCACTCTCAAGCAATCCTAAATCAAGAAGAATAAGTATAATGTCCACTTTTGAGTGAAATATGGAGATACTGAACAATATTCAAGCTCAAAGTCCATTAAAACAATACAAATCGGGAGCAGAGCAAACAAGAACCTCAAAAAACATCAGAGGTGGGATCAGGTGCCATGGAGGAGTGAGCATCCCCTGCCGACCGGTCACACCCGCCGTGTGCTCCTCATCATGATCAGGAAATAACGGAAAAGTCTCTTGCCAATTCAGTGTGTAAATAATGGTCTAACAATTAGTATAATGAAAAACGCCAGTCAGCATACGACTTAATGATAGATTGTATTTACTGACAAGGTCATTGTATTGACCACAGAACTTACAAAATGATGACTTTAAACAAGACTGTTGATATTCTTGTTTCATCAACTTGTTTGTCAATAACTTACCTCGTTTTAGAAATTGGTCATATGTAGAGTATGCTCTTGCGAATCGAATCAATTGAGAGATATGCACCCAATATGCAGGTATATTGCTGCATAAGTAAGGGAAGTTGACGATTGAAAAGTTCAAGTCATCACAATTATCATAAAGCTTTGTTGTTTGATTACCATTAACATCTTTTTCTAGTAAAATATCCAAAAATGAAACAGATTTGTCAGACTCTGTGCTATCAATCTTTTATTTCAAGCTCACTGGGATATATCGTGCTGACATATGAATGGAAATAACTATTGTTAATACCTCGTCAATATATCTAATTGTCGAGTTGAAGGCCACAACATTTCTCATGTGTAAGATTTTTGAGTCTGAATACCATAATAAATTAAATACCTTTGTGTTTCTTTAATAACAGCAGTGGTGAGTTTTAGTGCATCCAAATCCTCATGTGTAATTGTTCTGTTTATATCATCACCCAAAACTAATGACATTTCACCTCTGACCTTTTCTTGAAGATCGGGTCTCTCTGAGAGCTGGAGAAGGGCCCATGTGAGAGCAATGCTGGTGGTCTAAAAGTACGTAATATATCATTTAGCCTTTTGATGAAAAAAAAGCTATCAAAAAGAAAAACTCAAAAGTCTTTAAAGGGTGGAGGGCTACAAGCTAATAAATCATTGTCTGAGGACTTTAGTCTGTTATTCTAGAATAATTTGGTTCAAAACAATGCTTGATTGTGTTACATACTCTAATATGGTAAAGTTGAAGATCGGTAAAATTTCATTTACATGTAAATGAAATTTCTATTTCATAGCAAACACATTCAGGGAACTGACAGTGAAAACATGCACAAGTCATTACATCAAATCTCTGAGGGAAAACATGAAAGCAAAATATAACATATAATATGTAGAAATGTCCAAAAAGGACAAATACCACACCTGGGTTTTTTTTTTTTTAGAATATAGGTACCACGTCACTAAACTTACACCAAACTTTCAAAAGTAATGGTCAAGGTTAAAAGTTTTCAAAAGTAGTTTAAACTCAAAGTTCAAGGTCAGAAAAGTTTGTACCCAAGAGAAGGTCTAACCACAAAGAATGCTGTGACATATGAAAGTCCTAGCAGCAACTGTTCAAAAGTTATGGCCAAGGTAAAAGTTTTTCAGAAGTAGGTCAAATTTTCAAAATCAAAAGGTCAAGATTAGTGGTACTTAAGGAAAGGTCTTGTCACAAGAAATACATATATGTGTATAATGTATGAAAGCCCTCTTACCAACCATACGAAAGTTATGGCCAAGGTTAAAGTTTTGTAAAATTTTGTAAAAATGGGTAAAACTTCAAGGTCAAGAGGTCAAATATATTGGTACTTAAAGAAAGGTCTTGTGACAGAAAAATGAAAGCCCTAGCTTTTGCCAATCAAAAGTTATGGCCAAAGTTATAGCTATTGAGGACAAACAGACAGCTAGACAGACAGAGCAAAAGCTATACACCCCCAAGTCTTCAATTAGGGGGACATACAAATATCATATTATACAATATCATATTAGATTTCATAACTTTATACAAAATTAATTTTGAAAATAAATGGCAATTTACCGTGTATTTGAATTTGACAGATGCAATCAATTGCAATTAAGAGAGTAAGAGAAGAGATCTTTAATTCTTCTGCCCAATGCCTAAGAGATACAGATAACATTTGCAGGATCAGGGATGCACTCATAGAAATGATGTAGACCTTCCTACATTGAACTAATTAATTTATCTTTAACTGGACAGACTTGTCAAAATTCTCCTTTCATGTCCAGCTCCTTGCTCTCCTGGGACAAATGAATTTACACTATCTGTTGTGTGATGCACTGTTATTTAGTCTGCATTCAATTGCATATTTATGTCATTACTATTAAAAATGGTTTAAAGAGGTTCGTTTCTGAGCTTTTGGGCAGATTTGTGTCTTGACCTCTATTCAAAAATTTCTGCAAAATTTTTTAGTTCTTACATAAATTTGGATTCTACAATGCTAATTAAACTATATTCAATTAAAACCCATGATTATTGTAGATAACCCATGTCATGATTAAATTCCATACCCAAAGCATTAAGTGAGGAACTATATTTCATGGCGCAAAGTTTTTTAAGAAGAAAATGACCAATTTTTCTCTTTTGAAGTATTTACATTATTGTTAAGTTTGGATTCGTTTTTTTACATGAATCCTGCACACAAAGTTATTTTGTGCAATGAAATGTTTTATGCTGGTCCTAAATTATATATTAAATTTAAATCAACTGTCATGAATTCTATCATCATATTTGACAAATATAGCAAATATATATTGAAAGTCCTGAAAAAAAATTGCCCAATTTAAGCTTAAAATTAACACTATTTTAGTAATATATTTTAAATATTTACATCACAGACCCCAATATTTGATTTTCTTTTCTGAATATATAAGATAATTTTAACAACTCTGCTTAAGCTCAGTAAAATGTCATTACTTTCAAATGATTTTATCGCTTGTTAAATTTTTAATGCAAGAAAAATGACATTTTTGAGTGTAGGAAGGTCAAATAATTGACTATGCAAAGTAATTTGAAACTTTTTTGTAGACACAAATTTTTAATGTGACTATTCAAGATGAAAAGAGACTGTGTTTGTTCCCATAATTTATTTGGATAAAAAATATGACAGGAAAAACTTTGAAAAAATTGATTTATGTGTTAGACGTAATTACAGTGCAATAAGGTCATATTAAATGCTACATAGCACCAAAAGAAGCGCATTGACCCCCATTTTTTTGTTTTGCTTTTAAATTAATGTAAGTGTGTAGATTCTAAAAATATACTTGATAAAAAATTCACATTACTTTTGATAACATGATCCAACTTCCTTAAGCTACAGTTCACATTTCTCTACAGATGCACCAACTGACAGTTTCTTGATTCTTAGTTTCAAATCTATATAAACCCAAAATGATTGAGTCTACAAAAATAAAACACCTGTAAATAAAGAAAAATTGTCCAGACAAAATAATACAAATTTATGCAAGAATATGTACACACAAAATCATGTCTACAGACAGGCAAACAGAAGGACATGCTGATTCCAATATATTCCTCCCCCAAAACTTTGTTTGCGGGGAGAAGGGGGGGGGGGTATTATGCAAGTATTTCAACCCCTGGGTATTTTTTTTTTTTGATTTAATCAAATCATCTTATGAAAAACAATAGTAAAACATTATGAATTACATCAAATCCAGCTAATAGGAAGCCAAACACTTGATCGATCAGCTCTTTTTTGGACAGGTGTGATCCTTCCGCGTCACAAGCTGTAGTCAACATTGTTAGAATATCTCTTCTAGTTGACTCTTAAACAAAATCCACAAATATTGTAATGCTGACTAAAGATAACAACTTTATACATCTTGGGCCCGTTTTACAAAAGAAATTACGGCTAAGACCAAAAACTTCAGTTGATTGTAAAATTTTGCAAAATTAAATATTCTGTTTAAAATTGCTAGAGTAAAAGTATCTTTCTACATACATGTACCTTTTAAAAATATTAAAACCATTTTCTATTTAATGTAAATTATAAAGTTATTAGCTGAATTAAATTTTGGTCTTAGTTGTAAATTCTTTTGTAAAATGGGCCCCGGCAAGGAAAATAACACAGTAGAACTTCAGTATCTCAAACTTTGATATCTTGAATAACACAGAAATGTTGAGTGGGTTCAAAATCAAAATTTCAAAATCCTTCACTCCTTATGTATTTTAACCTCAGTATCTTTAATCCTCATATATCTCAATATGTTTTTTTTCAATCACATTGAGTTGAAGATAGCAAGGTTTGACTGTTCTTATTCTGATTCTAGAGGACCCCCCCTTTTTTTTCCAACATTCCTCTAAATCTAATTTGCTTCCATTATCCATGTCATTTTTATTTGGAATGGAGAAACACTAAGCAAAGTAAAAAAGTATATTTGTTAAAAACCAGAAGTTCTCTGATGAGATTGTAGCTCTACTGGTTTGTACTTAAAATAAAAGGAGAGAAAAGTAAGTGACTTGAAACTATGCAACAGCAATGAAGAGAATAATGCTTCTTGGTATAGTTTCTTTTCATAGCAAGATTTATTGTAATCAGACTAAAACTGTAGGAGGAGTAGAGGTTTGAAAGAATTTCACAGAAATCCCTATTGTTAGTAACCAATGCAGCACCGCTAATCTAAAAACCAATGAACAGAATTCTGTATCTTAGTGTAGCCTACTTGTGTGCCAAGTTATATTGAAATCAGACCAAAACTGAAGGAGAAGTAGTGGTTTGAAGGAACTTCACAGAAATTTCTATTTTTAGTAACCATGGCAACACCATTCATTGAAATCAAAAACCGATATAAAAAATTATGTATCTAAGTGTAATCTACTTTTGTGTCAGGTTATATTGAAATCAGACCAAAACTGTAGGATGAGTAGAATTTTGAAAACATTTCACAGAAATTTCTATTTTCTGTAACCATAGCAACACCCTTCATCGAAATCAAAAACTGATAAATACAATTATGTTTCTTAAAAAAGCTCACTTGTGTGTCAAGTTCTATTGAAATCAGACCAAAACTGTAGGTGGATTAGCATTTTGAAAGTACTTCACAGAAATTTCTTTTTTTAGTAACCATGGCAACACTGTTCATCAAAATCAAAAACCGATAAAGAGGATTATCTATCTAAGTATAGACTACTAGTGTGTCAAGTTATATTGAAATCAGACCAAAACTGTAGGAGGAGTAGTGTTTTGAACAAGAGGCCCAAGGGCCTTAATGGTCACCTGAGTACAATACAACAATTGAGAGGATCCATAAACTGATAAATGAAGCTTTGCTGCCCAAAAGCAAGAAATATAGTATGATTAGCATCAACAAAATAATTGGACTAGCATCTATCCATCCCCCATTTATCACTATTACCATGCAGACTACTTAACAAAATGTCTATTTTTTAACCCCATATTCTCACATTGGCCTCTCTTGGCCTTTGAAGAACATTTAAAAAGATGTTATTTTTGTCTCAATTTTATTCATTTATTATTTCCAAGTCTACCTGATCATTAAAACTGTGAAAGTATTTTTTTTATTTTACAATAAATATTCTTGCATAATTCTCAAATTCTATTAACCTTTCAAATACATTATTTACAGTGATTAATTATCAAAGGTGAATGGCAAAGGGGAATAACTTTGCTCAGCAGAATACAAGTTCAAAGAGCCCTGGCTAGGACCAGAACACTTGACTAAATAATCCAGATGTTCAAAATTGTGGTAAAAATACACTTGCATATTAAAACTTTTACTCTGTTTGCCTCGAATATGCCCAGAAGCATAAAAGATTTTCAAAGAAATGCATGTTCACTATATTATTAAATAAATAAAGTCCCCCCTTACACCAGAACATCTTACCCAGGAGCCATAAACTCACAATTCTGGAAGAAGCACTTTGCTCATCATAACTATACACTTATTTCTTTGCTTTATTACCAATAGTAGAAAAAATATTTTGAAAGAAATTATGCATTTTCACTATAAAATAAATAGAGCCCCCCCCCCCCCCCCCTTCACCAGAACCCCTGACCCAGGGGCCATGAATTTCACAATTTTGAAAGAGGCATTCTTCCTTATCATAACCATGCACTTCCTTTGTTTGAATAATACCCAGGAGCAGAGAAGAAGATTTTGAAAGAATTCATGCATTTTCCCTACATAATCAGTAGAGCCCCGTCCTAACACCAGAACCCTTCACCCAGGGGCCACGAAATTCACAATCTCTGAGGAGGCAGCCATGCTCATCACAACTATGTACTTAGTTTATTTAATAGCCAGGAAAGAGAAGATTTTCAAAGAAATAATACATTTTCACTATATATATCAATTGAGCCCCTCCCTGAAACCAGAACTCCTAACCCAGGGGCTATGAAAGTCACAATTTTGGAAGGGGTAACCATGCTCATCATAACTATGCACTAAGTTAGTTTATTTAATACCCAGGAGCAGAGAAGAAGATTTTCAAAGAATTAATGCAAATAATCAATAGAGCCCCACCCTAACACCTGAACCCCTGACCCTGGGGCCATGAAATTAACAATTTCTGCATGAAAAGACAGCCATGCTCATCATATCTATATTCTTAGTTAGTTTATTTAATATGCAGGAGTAGAGAAGAAGATTTTCAAAGAATTAATGCATTTTCACTATATGGTCAATAGAGCCCCCCCCCCTCCCCCTTTCACCAGAACCCCTGACCCTGGGGCCATGAATTTCACAATTTTGGAAGAGGCACTCTTGCTCATCATAACTATATACTAAGTTACTTTATTCAATACCCAGGAGCAGAGAAAAAGATTTTCAAAGAATTAATGCATTTTCACTATATGGTCAATAGAGCCCCACCCTAGCACCAGAACCCCCGATCCTGGGGCCACGAAATTCACAATTTTGGAAGAGGCACTCTTGCTCATCATAACTATGTACTTAGTTACTTTATTTAATACCCAGGAGCAGAGAAGAAAATTTTCAAAGAATTAATGCATTTTCACTATATAGTCAATTGAGCCCCCCCCCCCCTTTCACCAGAACCCCTGACCCTGGGGCCATGAAATTCACAATTTTGGAAGAGGCACTCTTGCTCATCATAACTATGTACTTAGTTACTTTATTTAATACCCAGGAGCAGAGAAGAAGACTTTCAAAGAAATAATGCATTTTCACTATATAATCAATAGAGCCCTGCCCTAACATCAGAACCCTGACCCAGGGGCCATGAAATTCACAATTTTGGAAGAGGCACTCTTGCTCATCATAACTATATATTTGGTTAGTTTATTTAATACCCAGGAACAGAGAAAAAGATTTTCAAAGAATTAATGCATTTTCACTATATGGTCAATAGGGCCCCCCCCCTTCACCAGAACCCCTGACCCTGGGGCCATGAAATTTAAGATTTTGGAAGAGGCACTCTTGCTCATCATAACTATGTACTTAGTTACTTTATTTAATACCCAGGAGCAGAGAAGAAGATTTTCAAAGAAATAATGCATTTTCACTATATAATCAATAGAGCCCTGCCCTAACATCAGAACCCCTGACCCTGGGGCCATGAAATTCATAATTTTGGAAGAGGCACTCTTGCTCATCATAACTATATATTTGGTTAGTTTATTTAATACTCAGGAACAGAGAAGAAGATTTTCAAAGAATTAATGCATTTTCACTATATGGTCAATAGAGCCCCGCCCTAACACCAGAACCCCTGACCCTGGGGCCATGAATTTCACAATTTTGGAAGAGGCACTCTTGCTCATCATAACTATGTACTTAGTTTCTTTATTTTATACCCAGGAGCAGAGAAGAAGATTTTCAAAGAATAAATGCATTTTCACTATAAGGTCAATAGACCCCCCCAATCACCAGAACCCCTGACCCTGGGGCCATGAAATTCACAATGTTGGAAGAGGCACTCTTGCTCATCATAACTATGTACTTGGTTAGTTTATTTAATTACCAGGTACAGAGAAGATTTTCAAAGAATTAATGCATTTTCACTATATAATCAATAGAGCCCCACCCTAACACCAGAACACCTGACCCTGGGGCCATGAAATTCACAATTTTGGAAGAGGCACTCTTGCTCTTCATAACTATGTACTTAGTTAGTTTATTTGATACCCAGGAGTAGAGAAGAAGATTTTCAAAGAAATAATGCACTTTCACTATATGATCTATATAGCCCTGCCTTAGCACCAGAACCCCTGACCCTGGGGCCATGAATTTCACAATTTTGGTAGAGGGCTCAATGCTTATTACAATCATGCCAACAGTTTGACTGCTTGATGTCCAGGAGTAAAGAAGACGATTTTTAAAGATTGCATTAATTTTGGTGTTTTTAGCCCCACCCCTCAGGCCCCAGGGGGGCAGGGACCATGAAATTCAAAATTTTTGTTCCCCTTCACCCATAGATGCTATATACCAAATTTGGTTGAAATTGGTTGAGTGGTTTCAGAGAAGAAGCTAAAAATGTTCAAATGTTAAAGCACATCGCATGACGACAGACAGAAACGGATAGCAATAGGTCACCTGAGTGACTCAGGTGATCTAAAAATCCTTGATTTAACTAATTTCACAAGTGACATACCTTAAACTGCCTATTTATTTCATAACTACTGCATTCAACTTTATTTGTTTATAATTATCAATGAGCACATGTTCCCCAACTCAAGTCTGAATCTGTGTATATGTATTCAAAGAAAAATACTTACTTTCTAAACAGTTGTTATAATTTTATCAAGAACAAATTTAAAAATCCACATCAATGGTACATTTCAATATTACTGGATATAATGTTTATATAAACAAATATGAAATATCAATTACATGTATTACAAATTTGTACAAATCATTCATTTTAAATCTATTTATTGAAATGTCATGAAGTGAAACGTACTTTCATTCTTCTGGCTTTCAATAATCTTTTCTGTCAATGCTTTAGTAAATTTGACATCTTTCTTTAGTTTCATCTTGGCTTTTGTAGGGAAGTAATCCGAAAAGGGGAGAAAGTCAAAAAACCTTCAAAGAGAATTCTCATTTCTTATATTAAAATAATAAAAATAATTATAATATCCCAATTCCTAGAGAAAGTAATAACTAGTCCTCAAACATTTATTACATATGATTTTAGATAGAAATTTTTTATGTCACATGTACATGTAATGACATAAAATTAAACTTCTACTTTTTTTCCCTTTTAAGTCTTTAATTACTAGATAAACTTACTGTAAAAGCAGAAATATTCATTGAGGATTAAAGGACTATATTGGTAATGACCAGTATTTGCCCCCAAAATTAAACTTTTACAGAGAAATGTATAGATGTGTTCTAGAAAACAGGGGGATATCTGCAGACTTTAAAGCATTAAATATTTTCATCAGCCATGACATCATATGTTAGATGTGACATCAGGAAAATGAAGTAAATGTTGAATTTCCATGATTTACAAAGAAAAAAGGTGAATATTACGTCGATATTTTGAGTAAAAGTCACCAAGCGCAGGTCTGCTCCAAATAAATTTTTTTGATATAATGTGTAAAATGATTATAACAATAAAATATGTAAATATTGTTATGGAGCAGCTTTCCGCTCTATATATTTTACAGTAAAAATTTTGTCTATTTTGTCCTATTTCTGAAAACTAACAGAAAACCCAAACTGTTTGTGATGTCATAGAAACAAAAATTGCCAATAACCCACTTCAAAACTATTATAAAATATTTTTTTTTAATTCAGATTTTTTCACACAATATATACAATTCAGCATATTTAAAGAAATTTTCAAAATTTGACTTTTGTGGGAGCAAAAATATGCATATAAATGTACTGCATATAGCTCCTTCATATTTTGTTGTTAACAATTATCAACAAAATTAGATCCCATGCAAAATTTTTATATGACTATATATTTATTAAATAGAGTTACTTTCGAAACAATGAAATTTAATGTCCTCAAAACCCTCGTAGATGACAAGTCAACAAAATTTTATCCCCAGAAAGTTCTACTTCTACAATAACCATTGACCTGAAACAAATGAGTCTTACAGTCCTCCACATTAACCTTGTTCTCTTCACTACACATTTTCAAAGATGTCAGAACCTCATTTCCATTGCCATTACATTGGTATAACATGAATATATTTATAAATACTCTTAAACTATTTTAATTCAAAGAAACATTAACCTGAATTTAAAAACATTCAACAACAAACCAAATAATTCCCATGGATTGAAAATTAATAGATGATTTCATACTTATAAGTGAACTCATCAATTAAATATTCATGTTCTGAATGGAAAATATTATTTGAATTTATCACTGTGACAGTAAATTGCTTTTGAAATCTCTTAATGAGATGTTAAATAATTAATGAAACTTAGAGCTTCAGTATATTAACACATTCTTTTGACATCTGGGATGGTAAATGCTGTATTTTACTCATAAAACCAAAGCATTCATGAACACATGCATGAACAGACATTTCCAAATTTAAGCAGGACAGAATTTCTCATCTGAAAAACTCTGTCAAAAACTGACACATTAACTCAATGGACAGTTTTTATTTCATATTAATTATCTAAAGTCTACCATCACTCAATGAGTTTTATTTCAAAACATTTAAATAATTAATAAAATTGGTAGAAAAAGTTAATAGCACGTACTTGATCTACAATTTAAATTTAGAAATTAAAACTACTATTTTTTTGAATGACATTTTAATTTTTAAAATACCTAATCAATAAGTGTTGTCTAGAAATGATTTAACACTCAAATGTTAATCTAAAAATTAAAAAGAATTTATAATTACACCACAAATGGAGGTGACTGCAGTTCACGTACATGTATATGGATTTTAAGCAGGTCCAGTACAATATCTTGATATAACTTGAATTAGCTAGTATATAGTTTTATTAAGCTATTTAGAATAGCTTGATTTAGCTATTTTACCACACTTTTTATTTAAATGTGTTCTTTTTTTCTCAGCATGTACAAAAAGTCGCACCTTGATGCAATAATTGTATTCAACCTTGAACTCTTCTGAAAACAACACATTTAAAAACTAAAGTAACTCATCAAATTGCGTCTCCTTGAGACTTTGTACTCAAAGTTTTAAAAGTTTTGGGGCTTTATAAGGCAATTGATTTGTGACCACACAAGGTGGTGTACAGTTATCCAAACAATGGAAATACACCTTTTGCTTAAAAGTATAATATTCAAAAGCTGCAATGTTAAAGCTATCTTAAATCTGGGCTGCTTTTTTGATGGCCCATAGTAAATACATGAATAGTCAAATACTTGCGACTTTTTGTTTATTTCTTAAAAACATTTTTGTGCAAAACTGCATATAAACAGCTTTATAAAGCTATTTCAAGCTATTTAGCTAAATCAAGAGATACTGGACCTATTAAGAGCTGCTAAAGCCTATTGCAATTTTCTTTCAAGTATATACCCTCCCCCCCCCCCCCCCCAAATAAAGTTGGTCTATTTATTTGCCTGTACTTTCCCTCATTTGTGACTATCCCCATGTGGACTAAAGAAAACAATAGTTCTAGAGCATTGTTCTAGGTAACACATGTCATTCTCCCTCACAATGGCCTCTCTTAGTCTTTGAAATGTTTTTTTAATGTACAAAGGTACAGTATTTTTGTCCCATTTTCATTTATCTACATGTATTATTTAAAAGTCTACCTGACCATTAAAAACTATGCAGTGCTCCAAGTTGTGACTAAAATAGTTGCAATTGCGATTAAAAAAATTAATTTTGTGACTAGAAATGAAAACTAAATTGCATTTTTGCAACTGAGAAATTTCATCCGGGGATTGTCAATTTTTATGATCAGGGATCGAGATTACTTTTTTCCTAAATTTTTCTACCAAGAAAACCTTTGAAGACATTCCTAAACTTTTTTAAGCATCACAAAGACTGAGATTACGTGATGTTATGTTGTATAGAATGGTTGTCAAATTAATGTCATAGACTTTTAAAAATCCCACCTTTTGGTCAATATTGCTTGCATATTATCATGTTTTGGCGATATTAACAGCAACTGTTTAAAAGGTAAGGTTCATAAAGTAAACATTACAAAACAACTCACAAAATCCTATCACAATAGTTTAATTCTACCTTATGCACTCATCAGTCAAACTTAATTGTTGTAATTTCATTGGATTTAATTTTAAATCTAAAATAACACACTTGTTTTCTTCTTTGTACAACCATATGGATGGTTCTATGTAATAACAATATTTCATTATAAGCGGTTTCTTCAGCCTAGCAAATTCTTTATAGTCACAATAAGTAATCTTTTATTTAAAAAAGACATATGATACACGTATATAAATGAGTGTTGGTTCCTTGCTTTTACAATATACCAAATGTGTTATTCACAAAATGTTATCGCCATGGCGAGTAAAATGTTTGTTGATGGCAACCAGAAAATATGAAATCAAATGGTGACCAATAAAATTTTTAGGTCACCATTTAGCAACATAGTAAGTGTGACTTGGAGCACTGCTATGATAGTCCTTTTTGTATTAAATATTATAAAAATTCTTGTAGATTTCTGTTTTTTCAATTTACCTTTTAAGGTACATTATTTACAGTGATTAACTATCACAGGTTAGCAAAGGGGAATAACTTCTTTTAGTAGAAATTAATGAATTGACCAAAGGTAACAGAATTTCAAAATCTGGTAAAACACCCATGCTTATTACAACTTTATATACCCTGTTTGCGACCTATATGCCCAGGAGCAGAGAAGAAGATTTTCAAATAAATAATCTATTTTCTCTATATATTTAATATAGCCCCATCCTAATACCACAAATTTCACAATTTTGGAAGAGGCACCCATGATCATCATAACCATACACCTACATGTAGTTTATCTGCTTTATTAATACAAGGGAAGAAAAAACAAAGATTTTTAAAGAATTCATGCATTTCATGTATGATTAATAGAGCCCCCCCTCCCTCCAACACCAGAACCCCTGACCCGGGGCCAATATATTCAAAATTTTGGAAGAGGTGCCTTTGCCCATCATATCTATAAACTTGGTTTACCTTCTAAATACCTTCTAAATACCTAGGAGCAGAGAAGAAGATTTTCAAAGAATTAATACACTTTCACTATATAATCAATAGAGCCCCCCATCTCCTGCAGAACCCCTCACCCTGGGGCCACAAATTTCACAATTTTGGAAGAGGTGTCCTTGATCATTAAAACCATACACCTAGTTTATCTGCTTTATATACTGGGGGAGAAAAGAAGATTTTTAAAGAATTTATGCATTTTTACTGTATGATTAATAGAGCCCCATACTAACTCCAGAACCCCTCACCCTGGGGCCATGAATTTCAAAATTTTGGTAGACAACTCAATACTTATTACAACATTGACTGCTTGATGTCCAGGAGTAAAGAAGAAGATTTTTAAAGATTGCACTCATTTTGATGGTTTCGGCCAACACCCCAGGGAGGCAGGGACCATGAAATTCACAATTTTTGTTCCCCTTCCCTGTTGATGTTCTATGCCAAAATTGGTTGAAATTGGTTCAGCAGTTTCAGAGATGAAGCTGAAAATGTTCAAATGTTAACACACAGCGCATGACACATGTCGCAAGACGATAGACAAAAATGAATAGCAATAGGTCACCTGAGTCATTCTGGTGACCTTAAAATGCTACGGACCAGACCAGGATTTGAACCCATGCCCCCTGAATCTCCAGTCAGGTGCCCTACCAACTGAGCTATCTGGCCACAGGCGATCGAACTCATCTGATGGCCACATTATGACCAAACCAGAAAACTGACAAAGTCACCATAACTCTTCCATAACATCATAATATGTTCCATAACTCTTATGAACAGTGTGTGCATTCACTACACATCATTTATTCATAGAACAAAATTAAAAAATTTCCACAATAAATAAATGTGCATATTCATTAGAACACATAATTATACCTCTACTGTTTTTTCCCCGTGTAAAATAAGATTGTTAGATATGAATAATTAACTACAAAATGCTGTGAGTGGACTAATCCCAATTTTGCCATGCCTTAATCACATGAGCTAATCCCTGCTTCAAAATTTGTATTGGTACATGTATAATACAACGGTTAACAAGAGGCCCAAGGGCCTTGAATCGCTCTTCTGATAAACTGTACAACCTATCATTTCTATTTGAAGCCTCTAAGTATCCTGTATATTTAGATAAACCCTTGAAATTCCAATTCACACTCTGAGAACCCAAGATGATTCTTAGCCAATTAGTACCTGAGAGTTGGTCATGGTGATCTACTTATCACTTGTCATTCTCTGAGGACCCATCAACTAAGTTTGATGATTCTAAGCCAATCAATACCTAAAATATTTTTTAAAATTATGACCATAAAATTTTATAAGTAGGTCAAGGTGACCTACTTTTCAGTTGTTGACCCAAGGACCCAAGATACATTGACTGACAAAGTCTGATGATTCCAAGCCAATTAGTACCCAAATATTTAATTAAAGCCATAAATTTTCAAAAGTAGGTCACGGTGACCTACTTTTCAGTCAACCTACTCCAAGGACCCAAGATACATCAACTATCAAAGGTTGATGATTCTAAGCCAATAAGTACCTAAAATATTTAATTAAAGCCATAAATTTTCAAAAGTAGGTCACCGTGACCTACTTTTCAGTTGTTGTACTCTGAAGACTCAAGATGCATCAACTGACAAAGTTTGATGATTCTAAGTCAATTAGTACCAAAATTATTTAATTAAAGCAATAAATTTTCAAAAGTAGGTCACCATGACCTACTTTTTAGTCGACCTACTCCGAAGACCCAAGATGCATCAACTGTCAAAGTTTGATGATTCTAAGCCAATTGCCACCTGAAATATTTAATTAAAGCCATAAATTTTCAAAAGTAGGTCATCGTGACCTACTTTTCAGTTGTTGTACTACGAAGTCCCAAGATGCATCAACTGACAAAGTTTGATGATTCTAAGCCAATTAGTACCTAAAATATTTAATTAAAGCCATAAATTTTCAAAAGTAGGTCACGGTGACCTACTTTTCAGTCAACCTACTCCGAAGACCCAAGATGCATCAACTGACAAAGTTTGATGATTCTAAGCCAATTGCCACCTGAAATATTTAATTAAAGCCATAAATTTTCAAAAGTAGGTCACAGTGACCTACTTTTTAGTCAACCTACTCTGAAGACCCAAAATGCATCAACTGACAAAGTTTGATGATTCTAAGCCAATTAGTACCTGAAATATCTAATTATAGTCATATAAATTGAAAAGTAGGTCACGGTGATCTACTTTTCAGTTGACCTTTTTTGAGGACCCAAGATGCATCAACTTACAAAGTTTTAAGATCATAGGCCTTAAAATGTCCAAATTATGCCTCTAAAACACTTTGAAATCGAATTCCTGCAAATTCAAAAAATAGGTCACTGTGACCTACTTTTTAATAAAAATGTTTTATGGCCCCAGGATGCATCATCTTACAAGATTTAATGATTCTAAACCTCTCGGTATTCGAATTAATGACCTTAATTGCTTTGAAAAAGATTAGCCATAAAGTTCAGAAAGTAGGTCAAGGTGACCTACTTTTTAGTTGAAGTACTTCGAGGACCCAAGATACATCAACTGACAAAGTTTGATGATCATAGGCCTTAAATTGTTCAAAATATGCCTCTAAATCATTTTGAAAAAGAATGGCCGCAAAATTTAAAAAGTAGGTCACCATGACCTACTTTTGAGTCAACATGATATGAGATCCTTAGATGCATCAACTGACAAGATTTGATGATCCTAGTCCTTATAGTGAGCAAAATATCAACATTTTAATAAAACGTAATTTTTGGTCAACTTTGAAGTGACCTTGAGACTACGCCCTTTGCCCCAAAGTGATGCCTTGAATAATTTTAAATCTGCAACATATCCTTATCCTTTTGTGCAAGTTTGGTGATAATCTGCCCAATGGTTCTTAAGAAGAAGATTTTTTAGCAACCAGTACTTTTGTTTCTATTTTCCTAATTATCTCCCCTTGATTAAGGGTCACAACCCTAGTTTTAGTACAAAAGGGAGCCCTTGGGCCAAGGATACCCTGTGACAAATTTGACAATAATTGGCCAAGAGGTTCTTGAGTTATGGCCCATAATCTAAAAAGTTTACGCACACTGCACAAATGGCCATAGCATTTGCTCTTTGAGCCTTTGGCTCAGAAGAGCTAAAAAGTATATCATTGAGGAAGTTAGCAGGATTCCAGTTCCCCTCGACCAGGACTATTTCCCTCAAGATCAAAGGTCACAAAGTTGTTAACCATGGCACAAAGTCGTTAACCATGGCAAATTAACAAAAGCCATAGTGCCAAGCAATATTTGTGCAAAATATCAAATCAATACCTCTTTCAGTTCTTGAGATATAAAGTGTGACAGATGGACAGAAAGACAACTAGACAGCTAGACAGACAGATGCCAAGTAAAGTGATCCCTTAAGTGTTGCTCTGCTCTGCAGGCAACACAAAAATGATACTGAAGTAACTGTACCTGAGTGTATAGGTATATTTTGTTATTTTCAGTAAACCAAATTGTTTAAATTATGATAAATAAACATTTAACTTAAATCACATAAGATTAACTATCTTACCCATCTCTGACTCCACTAACTATAGAACGAATTCCATCTTCATCCTCAGAGGAGCTGGGATTTTTAAGGAAGTCTGTGTCATAACCAAAACCACATTTGCAGATTACATCTAAAGTCTGTAAAACAATAAGAATTAAAAACAAAGATGAATTTTTTTGTCTTTCTGTAAATTTAGAACTCCTTAATCCAGAGAACTTTATTTTTGTGCTTATTTTTATTTTTGCTTAAGACCATCTCTTCACAAAAATTTTATTCCTTTTATATTTGTAGCATCAACATTTCTGTACAGCAATAACCAGAACTTGTGAGAATTTTGTGTCGCTTATAAATTCCGAATAATTATCTTGCTAAATAAGGTGCCCCAAAAAAATGGTGATCTAATAACATAAACAAAGTGATGCTACAGCATGTGGTTAACTCATTTAAAGTTAAATATCCATTCAATGTTTTCTAGAAATGCTGAAGACCAAAACAGGAAAGGCCCAGACAGACAAAATAGCGCAAAAATATAAACCTCTATCTAACCTTGTAGATGCAGAAAGTAATAACAAAAGAGGTTCATGGAGCTTAAAGCTCAGCTGAATGCAACAATTTTTTTTTTCTGAGTCACAACATTTGTTCTATTTTTTTTTTAATAATATGTACTCCATAAAACCTGAGAGCCCTATAAAAGTAATTTTACTGTCCAAAGGGCAACGATGGAAATAAATGTGAATTTACACTAATGATGACAAATCCAAATTAATATGGCAATTCTAACTGGCAACATCTTTCTTTGGGATGTTTTTTAAAAAAAAATGGAAACATGGAAACATGCAGCAGTGATTGTGATGTCACAAACAACACCTCAAGTAACACTGTAAACAGTGATTGAAACGACCGGAGCCAGCTGTGTATCTGAGCAGGAGAAATGTAAGGCAAGCCTAGCACTGGATTATTTTAGGAATGACTTTAATTCTTGGCCAAATTATTTGAGTATAACCTGGTTTGGGTCAGTTTACGCTTTATAATCCGCGAAGCGGATTATAAAATAGCGTAAACTGACCCAAACCAGGTTATACTTGAATAATTTGGCCAAGAATAAGAGTCATTCCTTATAATTTAATTTTAAAATCATTAAATAACTATGGGTGTAAAATTTCGTTGCTTTTTTATTAGTTCAAATTTGCCGCTCATTAATACAACCATAGTAACGGAAGTAATGGAAGTGATGGGAAGCGAGGGGAGGTAAAAACTGATACATAGGCCTAGCAGCCTTGTTGTTTGTTTACATGTGGTAAGATCGAATTATTGTTTGAAGTTAAAGGTACATTTATTAAATTTGGAATTTTCCCTGAATCCCGAGGACTGGAAATGAGAAGATTGTATGGATACAGATGATTCAGCTGGTTGTCAGGGGGGTGTGTCCCCATACCAAACCAGGTTATACAAAAATAATTTGTGTTCCTTTTTGGATATTAACCAATCAGAGGCTAGAGTACAGACAAAATTAAATTATTTTCCAAATATTTCGATGTCTTACACACAACGAAAGGAAAACATGGAAGTTGTAACTTGTAATCTGTACATTTTTAATCTTTCTGTAATGGTTCAGGCCATGGATATCAACTTAGCTCAGTCAATAGAGCACCTGACTAGTGATGCAGGGATCCCTGGTTCAATTCCCAGTCCAGCCATACATTTTCTTCTTTCCTGTTACATAATTTGGTGACATTGACCACCCCTGGACTTGCAGGTGAAAGTCCTACCAGGGGCTAATAGAACTTGGGTTGTGTCTTTGAGGGCAAAGACAATACACATGTAAGGAGGGAGGAATATAATGGTTCTGGCCATGGATATTGGCCTGGGTAGCTCAGTCAATAGAGCACCTGACTAGTGATGCAGGGGTCCCGGGTTTGATTCCCAATCCAGCCATACATTTTCTCCTTTCCTGTTACATTTCTAAGACAGAAGTTCGTTAATGAAAATAGTGTTGTCAAACAGCCTTCAATGTCTTATTTATTCGAATCCTTGGCTTCGCCTCAGTCAATATTTATATTTTTCTGGTGAACAACAAACCATATTTACCACCAAAAGAAGGAGTTCATAATTTTATAATATCCTATTTAAAAAACATTGCTAGATCTCTGCTTGGTGAAGTGTTCTTTTAAAAAGTTCAATTTTAAGATCACATGACATGATCAATCTAAACTTTTTAACAGTATGATAGGCCAAGGGTGTTAATGAGTACTATGTAATTAAGCAAATCAGGAGCCCTAACTAGTAAAGATATTAAGGACAATGCATGATGGATGATTACAGAGGAAAATAGATAGAAATACAGTCAAACCTCATTATCTCGAATTCAAGATATCCAAGGGTTTGAGATATCTTGGATAAAATATTTAAGAAATATGTGATTAGGACTTCTCATTCACTTTGACATATCCATGGTATTTGAGAAACCCGTGTTCCAGATACCGAAGATCAACTATAGTAAGCTGAGTGACTGACATGACTGAAAAAAGGACTTCTACATACTGTAAAAATATAAATCTGGTTTAAAACTCTGGACATGGTACTCACCATTGTCTGGAGATCTTTCTGTAGCTGAACATCTGCATGCTCATTCTGTGAATAATCCCATTTCTTGCCTAGATTAAGTGCTTTCTCTTGAAATACAGGAATCATATCTGTTGAATAATTTAAATGTACATGTATTTCATTACATATCTCCATAAATGGTAGATACTGCATACAGTATTAATGAACAATTTTCCAAAACATCCAGTGCTACAAATTTCTTTCTTTTTCATTTTCTTTTTCTTTGAGGACCATTTATGGTTTACATTATCAATATAGAAAGTGTGTTTTCTAATTCTATGTGGTTTAAAGATATAATTGTGTGAAACTTCTTTAGGATTTTAAACAATTCCTGAATAAACAAGATGTGTTTGTGAAACACTGATGCCCCTGTATGGCAGCTTATGGCAAAGGTTAAAGCTTCTCAAATGCAAGTCAAAATCCAGGCCAAAAGATGAAAAAATGTTAAATTTGAAAGCCCTAGCTGCAACTGTTCAAAAATTATGGCGAAGATTAAAGTTTTTTAAAAGTAAGTAAAACATCAAGGTCAAGGTCAAAGTTGTTAGTATCCAAAGGAAAGTCTTGTCACAAGGATTACATATGTAAAGTATGAAAGCCCTAGCACCAACCATTCAAAAGTTATGGCTAAGGTTAAAGTTTTTCGAAAGAAGGTCAAACTCCTATGTCAAGGTCAAATGGTCAAAGTGGTTGGAATCCAAAGGTAGGTCTTGTCACAAGGATTACATATGTGAAGTATGAAAGCCCTAGCACCAACCATTTAAAAATTATGGCTAAGGTTAAAGTTTTTCAAAAGTAGGTCAAACTCCTATGTCAAGGTCAAAGGGTCAAAGTGGTTGGTATTCAAAGGAAGGTGATGTCACAAGGATTACATATTTGAAGTATGAAAGCCCTAGCATCAACCATTCAAAAGTTATGGCCAAGGTTAAAGTTTTTCAAAAGTAGGTCAAACTCCTATGTCAAGGTCAAAAGGTCAAAGTGGTTGGTATCCAAAGGAAAGTCTTGTCACAAGGATTATATATTTGAAGTATGAAAGACCTAGCTCTAACCGTTCAAAAGTTATGACCAAGGTTAAAGTTTTGCAAAAGTAGGTCAAACTCAAAGGTCAAGGTCAAAAGGTCAAAGTTGCCAGTATCCAAAGGAAGGCCTTGTCACAAAGAATACACATGTGAAGTTTGAAACCCCAAGCACCAACTGTTCAAAAGTTATGGCCAAGGTTAAGGTCTCATAAAATTTTGCAAAAGTGGGTCAAACTCCAAGATCAAGGTCAAAAGGTCAAAAATGATGGTACCCAAAGAAAGGTCTTGTCACAAGGAATACACATGTGAAATATGAAAGTCATAGCTCCAACCAATCAAAAGTTATGGGCAAGGTTAAAGTTGACAACAGACAGACAGACAAACAGATAAACAGACAAACAGACAGACAGGACAAAAACAATATACCCCCGGGATCTTTCGATCCTGGGGCATAAAAACATATAATTTATTCATATCTCTCCAAAGAACCTATATCCACTGCAAAATACTGTAAATCACATGTAATTTCATGTATTAACTCAAGACTGTCTGCTTGCAAAACTCTCATTCTCATGTATACTTGTTTTAATAAAGATAATATACAGCAATATGAAAAATTTTTAAAATTCTTATTGCTTATAAAATCAAAAAAACTACAGTCAAACCTCGTTATCTCGAACACAATGGGACTGAGAAAAAAAACTTCAAGATATCCTAGGCCTTGAGAAAGCCATGCTAAAATACTTAAATGATAAGGGTTTGGGACCTCCAAATCACTTCAACATATTATATTCAAGATACTGGTGTTTGAGATACTGCATTTCAATTGTATATGGCAAAAACAAGGTGATACAATGGTGATCTACAGTACTTAACCACCTTTTCATTCTATGTGGGGAAATAACACAAACATTTTATTTCAAAAATCATATGTATTTTTTTGGATAATCTCACTTTCACATTAAGCTCAAGGTGCTCACAGATTTGTATTTCAATACAAATTAAAATTTCCTTGTACACTTATTCCCTGAATAGGTTTCTCTTTATTTTTTTCTTCAAATTATATTAAAATTCAAGGTTGTTTTTCTTCTATAATTATCTATAAATTTATTAGTACTCATTTCCCTACAGTGCTTATGTTTCTGCTACAACAGTGAAAATAAATCTGCTGTAAAAATAAATCTGTATAATGTACATTCAGAAACTTCAGTTATGTTCATTAGATTTGACTGTCCCATGGTACCTGTGGCCTACATTTGTGCAGCAGAATCAAGAAAGGCTAAGGTCACAGAGAAGGTGAAGGTCACAAAATTAATGTATGCTTGAAGATATGTCTGTGTAAACAGTTATGTGAATGTACTTTTTCCTGTTTTAAAAGCACAAAGAATCAGGAAAGAGAGATTTAGATCTTACCTGAATGATATTTTCACCCACTGAATATTTTTGACCCCCACTTTCGCGAAAGCGAGGGGACATTAAATCTCATTTGTCCATCTGTCAGTCTGTCTGCCACAAAAACTTTAACCTTGGTTAGAACTTTTGAATGAGAAGAGATAAGGCTTTCAAATTTCACATGTACAATACCAGTGACAAGATGTTTCCAAATAAACTATGGTTTTTGACCCCATAACCTTGACCTTGAAGTTTGACCTACTTTTAAAAAAATTTTAACATTACTTTAAATTGGTCATTACTTTAAATTGGTCATAACTTTTGAATGAGAAGAGATTGGGCTTTCATATTTAATATGTATATTACCTGTGACAAATCCTTTCCAAGTATACATGTACTATGATTTTTGACCACGTGACCTTGAAGTTTGACCTACTTTTCAAAAATTATATCTTTGCTTATAACTTTTGATTGAAACAAGATAGGGTTTTTGGGCGTGATCTTGACCCTCATGTTAGACCTAATTTTCCAAAATTTCAATGACATATGAAAGAGCATTCATATTTGGCAAGTGAATTACCTGTGCCAAAATGTTTTTGAATATGCTATGATATTTGACCCCTTGATCTTGACCTTCAAATTTGACCTAATTTTCAAACATTTTATCAGTGTTACTAATTTTTGAAGGAGCAAAGATAGAGCATTTATACTTGACACATGCATTACCTGTGACAAGCATTTCAAAGTGTACTATGATTTTTAACCCCTTGACCTTGCCCTTGAAGTTTGACCTTACTTTCAAAAATGTTAACACTGCTGATAACTTTTGATTGAGAGAAAATATGGCATGTGCATTTAACATCCCCATTACCTGTTTCAAGACCTTTCTGATTGCATACTCTGTTTTTTGCTCTTGAAGTTAGATATAGTTTTGAGAAGCTATAATCTTTGCCATAACTGTTAATTATTCAATAATGTATATCTCTTTCATATGATGCACAGACAAGACGGGACACACAAATAAGACAGTTAAAATATATGGCATAAATAATGGCATCCCATCCACTTAGACACTGAAAGAGGGGGACCACAATTCTTTGAATTTGCTAGTCTCCTATATTTCTTATGAAAACCAACAAAATGTCAATATCGATCCATTAATAATTTACACCTCAAGTTATGTAGAAATGAGATGAACAGAGAGAAAATTAACATACATCTACTAAAACAGCCAAAGAGAAGTTGAATGGGATGGAATTGTCTTACCAAATAAGACAGTTGGGGAGAAGGCTGGATTGGAGATCTTCCTGATCACATGATGAGGCTCTCCTGACAGGACAAATAGCGGAGCAGTTCCCGTCAACCTCTGAAAACTATAATAAAAAAACAAGTACATGTAAATAATAAAAGGTCAATTTTCATTTCCTACGAAAACTTTTATAAAAGAACAAACAAATAAAGAGGTAGTTCCCATCAACTTCTAAAAACTATAATAAAGAACAAGTAATAAAAGGGCATTTCCCATCAACCTCTGAAAGTTATAACACCCCATTAGTTAAAAGTTATAAGAGGCCCAAGGGTCTAGAATCACTCTTCTCATATCACTTCTATTGTAAGCCTCCTAGTACCCTATATATTTAGATATTTTAATATTGAAATTCCAAAGTAGGTCATCATGACCTAGATTTTGGTTAACACTATGAGAACCCAAGATGCATCAACTGACAAAGTTTGATGATTCTAAGCCCCTTATTATCTTCAATATTCAGATACAGCCATAAAATTCCAAAAGTAGGTCACTGTGACCTACTTTTTTGGTTGATATACACCAAGGGCCAAAGATTCATCAATTAACAAAGTTTGATGATTCTAAGCCTCTTATAATTTGAAATATTTAGATAGTGCCTTAATATTCCAAAAGTGGATGGAACATCCTGAGGACCCAAGATGCATAAACTGACGACGTTTGATGATTCTAAGCTAAATAGTACCTGAAATATTTAAATAAAGTCATTGCATTCCAAAAGTAGGTCATGGACCTACTTTTTAGTTGACATACTCCATTGACTCAAGATGCATCGATCAACTGACAAAGTTTGATTATTCTAAGCCAATAAGTATATGAAATATTTTAATGTAGCCATAAAATTTCAAAATAGGCCATTGTGACCTACTTTTTGGTTGAAATACTTTGAGGCCTTAGGTCACTGTGACCTACTTTTCGATAAATGTTTTAAGGCCCCAAGATGCATCAACTTACCAGGTTTGATGATTCTAAACCTCTCAGTCTCTGAAATAATGACCTTGAATCTCTAAAAAAAATGATTAGCCATAAAATTCAGAAAGTAGGTCATGGTGACCACTTTTTGTTAACACACTTTAAGGCCCCATGATGCTAAATTAACAAGTTTTGATAGTTCATAGGCTTCAAAGTGTCCAAGATATGCATCAAAATCAACATGAATGCCTGCAAAATTCAAAAAATAGGTCACCATGATCTACTTTTGAGTCAACATGATATGAGTTCCTAAGATGCATCAAACTGACAAGGTTTGATGATCCTAGTTCTTATAGTGGGCAAAATATCAAAATTTAACATGATTTTTGGTCAACTTCGCAGTGATCTTGAGACCCAAGGGTGATGCCTAACAATTTTTAATCTACACCATATCTTCATTCTTTTGTGTAATGGTGATAATCTGCCCAGTGGTTCTTGAGAACAACATTTTTTAGCAACCACTACTTTTGATTTTATTTCCCCAATTACCATATAGCGTTATTTTTTTTTAGCAGGGTGCTAGTTTTGGCTTATTTCAGCAGATTTGCAGTAGCCCACTAAAATTTTAATTGCTAAATCTGTACCCTTGCTTATAAGTACTGAATACAAGGAAAATAACTCTGATCAGCCTATTGTTAAACGTTATATATTTCATCTGGTCTTGGTTTTTACTCAAATACTTGCTTAAATAGGTATTCAAACATATATTAAATGTTCTGAAATTCATCTAAAGTGTGAATTTCCTCTCTTTTGCAACGTCATGCAACTTCGTCAAAAAAATCCTCCAAAACCTTTGAGCAAGAAAATGCCAAATTCTACACCCACTACATAAACCCACTTTACAGTTTCTCACCTTGTTTAAGGATCATATCCCCATTTTTAGTATAAAAGAGAGTCATTGGGCCAAGGATACTCTGTGACAAATTTGACAAAAATTGTCCAAGAGGTTCTTGAGATATTGCCCATATGCCAAAAAGTTGACACACTGCACAAATGGCCATAGCATTAGCTCTTTGAGCCTTTGCCTCAGAAGAGCTAATAAAAGAACAAGTAAATAATGGAGCAGTTCCTGTCAACCTCTAAAGGCTATATTGAAAGAAAAAGTAAAGAACTGGACAGTTCCCATCAACCTCTGAAAACTATAATAAAAGAAAGAGTAAATTATGGGGCAGTTCCCATCAGCTCTGAAATACCACCGGTATAATAAAAGAACAAAAAAATAAAGGAGCAATGCCCATCAACTTCTGTGAGCTTTAATAAAAGGAAAAGTAAATAATGGGACAGTTTCTGTCAACCTCTGAAAGTTATAAAAATGGGACAGTTCCTGTAACCCTCTAAATACAATTTTCAAAAAAAATTTAAAAAGTAAATTTAGAGGTAGTTCCCTCAACCTCTGAAAACTGTAATAAATAGATAATTAAAAACTTTTAGCTAATAACTCTTTTGAATTGTTTACTGCCATTGCATTACATCAAACAAATTTTTTTCTCTACTGAGCATTAAAATGAAAATCATTCAACAATTTCATTACAAAACTTGATTATATATGTAAGAGTCAATGAAAGTATTTATAAACTTCAAATGTGTGAAAATCTCTTATCTACTGGCATTTTTTTCTCAGTTTCACACTATCAAGAAATATTTGTTTTGTATTGGAAGTAATGGTAAAATAATTGAAGGCAATCATCAAATGGAAGTAGTGGATCTACTGTGAGGCATGTAAGTTTTCTGTTTTCACAATAAGCAAACACTACTGTGTTATTTACAGGTAACCCCTCCTTACCACAACTTTGTTGGGAGGGTAAATATTTAGCATATACTAGGTAAATTCACCCTACAAAATGTTACTACTTTTACACAATTAACCACTTGAAACTGTTCCATTCCTTTTTGTAAATAATCAGTAATTTATAATTTCTGATTTAATTCTCTAACCTACTGTATTTCAAGTTTTTTCTGCTTACAATGACTGAATCCCTGCTCGTTTATAGTTGCGACTGTTTGTGACTAAAACTTGGCGGCAAATTTCTGGATCTGCAACCAGAAGTCTTTCCTGCCCTCCAAAGTAGTAGAAGCGAATGATTTTTGACTTATATTTTTGCATCCATCTGTAAAAGGAAATGTTTTAAAATTCTCATACTGCACAATGTACAAAATAAAAAAAAGTTCTATAAACACTAAAAAAAATGCCTAAAATATTGTACAGTCTTTCCTGAAATCATGAATTTCTTTTCATATAATCATTTGAACAAACTTGAATCTACACTATCTGAGGATGCTTCCATATCAAAATGACTAATCATGGCTTGCAGTTCTTCAGAAGAAGATATTTTCCTATATATTTCTATTCAAGACTTTGATCTTCCATTGTGGTCCCACCCTACCCCCGGGGGTCATGATTTGAACAAAATAGAATCTACACTACCTGAGGATGCTTCCACATAAATATGACCAATCAGGGCTTTGCTGTTCTTGAGAAGAAGATTTTTAAAATTTTTCCTATATATTTCTATGTAAAACTTTGATCCTCCATTGTGGCCCCATCCTATCCCCAGGGGTCATGATTTGACTAAACTTCAATCTACACCACCTGAGGATGCTTCCATATAAATATGACCAATCAGGGCTTTGCTGTTCTTGAGAAGAAGATTTATAAAGATTTTTCCTATATATTTCTATGTAAAACTTTGGTCCTCCATTGTGGCCCCGCCCTACCCCCGGGGGTCATGATTTGAACAAACTTGAATCTACACTACTTGAGGATGCTTCCATAAAAATGTGACTCATCATGGCTTTGCTGTTCTTGAGAAGAAGATTTTTAAAGATTTTTCCTATATATTTCTACATAAAACTTTGATCCTCCATTGTGGCCCCGTCCTACCCCCGGGGGTCCTGATTTGAACAAACTTGAATCTACACTGTCTGAGGATGTTTCCACATGAGTTTCATCTTTCCTGGCCCAGTGGTTCTTGAGAAGAAGATTTTTTAAAGATGCTATTAATTTTTCACTAATTCTTAATTATCTCCCCTTGAAAGAGGGTGTGGCCCTTCATTTGAACAAACTTGAATCCTCTTCATCCAAGGATGCTTTGTGGCAAGTTTGGTTGAAATTGGCCCAGTGGTTCTGGAGAAGAAGTTGAAAATGTGAAAAGTTTACAGACAGACGGACAGACAGACAGACAGACAGACGGACTACAGACAAAATGTGATCAGAAAAGCTCACTTGAGCTTTCAGCTCAGGTGAGCTAAAAATACTGGGTACCCTATCTGAGAAGTTCCACACCTTTATTTTTTTTTATGCCCCCAGTTTGTCAGTTGTATTAAAATGATCTGAAGGCCTATGATACTAATAAAGGTAAATGTGGTCTACTAATAGGACTATCTGCCTCCTCAGTCCTCCTCCTTGGGGTAGGGGATAGACAACGCATGAGAGCAACAATGCAAGGGCAACAAAGCAAGGGAAGCAAGAATGCAATGGCATCAACTGCAAAGAGCAGGGGCAAGAAAGGGGGAAGAATATGATGAAAAACAATGCCGTTGAAAAAATGATAAAGGGGTGAAGGAAACAATGCAAAGGAGGAAATGATTCTTTAATTTTTTTGCACACACCATTGTAGTTACGAGACTACATCTTTCAAAAATTAATAATTCAATGCTTAAGGAGACATACTTTGATTGCAACAATGCCAGTGAAATAAATGTGAAGGAGCAACAAGGAAAATGCAAAAAACGGAAGGCAAAAAATAAGCATAAGCCAAAATGATAGTGAAGTTGTGAACTTGTGAGGATAAGGGAGTCAGATTAACATCACCTTTGCATTGCCTCTCCCTTATCATAACATTATTGCACTCACATTCTTGTTCCCAGAATTAATTGCTCTCACTATCTCACAATGTTAAACCTTTGGATTATTGATTCCTAACCATAGAGACAAAGGAGCAGAGAAGCAAGTGGCCTTATGAGTACAACTCATGTCATTCACTGTGTTTGCCACAATCATTTAAACTAATGTATTACACATTAGCTTTTTTACACATTATAGCTGCAATAGAAGACAGTACAGAATTGATTTTTTCATCATCAAAAAGTAGGACAATGACTGCACTAGAATGGTTAAACCATTGCTTAGTATATTTTTAAATAATTACAGTCAAACGTCGTTATCTCGAACTCAATGGGACCAAGAAAAAACTTCGAGATATCTAAGGGTTTGAAAAATCAAGGGTAAAATACTTAAGAAATATGTGGTTAGAACTTCCAAATCACTTCATCATATCCATGGTATTCAAGATATCGATGTTCTCGATACCAAAGTTCAACTGTATGTAAATAATCAATCTCTACTTGATCAAATGATCTACTAGTTTGAGCAAATCAGACAACTGTGAAAGATAGAGAAAAAAGGACCATGCATTGACATTTGGTGAATTACTTAACTACCAACAAGGTTCATTATTATGTGATGCTTCACTCACCTGATTGTATTTGTCATTGGCTCAGCTTTACGAGCCTCTAGCATGTTCCCGACCAGTGGTATGAATGGACATCCTGGTATCTACATGTATAGATTGAAAGTTTTGCAATTTGTAAAACTAAACTGCATGATCAGCAATTTTGAACACACCTGTTTGGACTACATATGAAGGGTGATCAAAAAGTTTGCGAACTGTCTCTATATTTACAATACCACAATTCAGATCAGAATGAAATTTGGGACACATATGGTCATAAATAGCAGATGTTATGCAATGCTTTGCTCCATGTTTGTGACGTCACAATGTGAAAATGTCGTCAATATGTAGGTGACTTGTGACAAAAAATGGTTGACTCAGTCGTACTCAAGCAACGAACGGGTGTAAAGTTTAACGTATATCTTGGAAATTCCTTTGCAGTAGCATATTATACATATATTACATGGCTTCGAGGGCAACATACCAGAATATTTGCCCCCGAGGTGACAGGAAAGCCCTGGAGTGTTATGTCACCCAATGCCGAAGGCAGAGGGCGACATAACACTCCAGGGCTTTCCTGTTACCGAGGGGCAAATATTCTGGTATTGTTGCCCGAGAAGTCATGTAATATATGGTATATAACATTTTAAAAAAAAAAACAAAATCTGACATATGTTTTGAAGACTATGGACCTGTGTAAATATCTGGAAAAAACATGCAAATTGTTTTTTAAATAGTTGATTGGTGGGTACCAATAGTTTCGATAATAATGCTAAGGAACATTAACACTATTGTTGTTAAAATGATAACGGGGGACGGCTGAAAGTTATGAAGGCTGATTTCTCTTCCTCTATAAATAATTCCGAAATATTCCGTCTTGTTTCATTGCAGAATGTTTTCAGCACGCTGACACTTGTGCTTATAACTTTTGTTGTATTTACGGAATTTTTCTCCTCAATCAAACTATCTAGTTCCTCTGAATTTAATGAACATAAAAAAACGTAGACGTTTTCCAGACATTTTCATTTTCGCGGAACTGTTTACGTTTGCTTAGCAACTGCCTCTGTGAATTTCGAACCCGATTTAATTAATATGCAGAATGATTACACGCGAGGGAATATAACGGTGTTCGGGAGGGCAACATAACTGTTTCCGGTGTAATATAACTATATCCGGCGTGATTCAGCAGTTTTTCAGGGCATATGGATAAAAATATCATATTTGTGATATAATGGGAAAACTTCTTCAAAAATGTTATATAATAATTTGTACAAGGTTTATGAAGACAAAATACTTGCCAGAAGTTTAATCATTAAATGGATTGATTGTTTTGAAGAAAGGGAGATGATTAAAAATAATGTTTGTTCTGTTGCCCAGTGAAAGCAAGCTGGGAAAGAGGTGTGTCCTTAGTTGAGCAATTTGTTATGAAAGATCGCCAAGTTACAGTTAGAAAAATAGTTGAATATCTTAACAATAATATAATTATTAAATCACTAAAATTTTGTTTACTTCAAAATTTAAATATGTAAGATATGATAAAAAGAAGGTGCCCATACTATATCCAAATTGGATAAACGACGTTCCCAGGACAGAGGACTCAGGTTGTGATGGTCACCATGCTCATTCTGAGAAGGGATATCCTTATCCACCCACCCTATTGCCGAGATTTGGCCATTTCTGACAAATGGACTGTTCTTGTTATAAAAAACAACTTGTATGGTAAGAAATATAAGGCTGGGAAAAATCTTTCATCTTTTGTGAACAGAACGCTAAGGAGCATGTTACATGACCACCTGACTCGCACATGGTGGCAGATCTGCATTAAAATCGGAGAGGACTAATTTACAAAAAATAATGAACACTGAAACCTAATTTTCTTTCTTTTATGGAAGTAATTCAAATATTTTGCTAACTTTTTGATCACCCCTCGTATGTAATTTAATTGTCTTATGTCAGCTGTGGATTTACACTCATTAGTGAGTATCAAATCTGATTTTAAACTAATGATTTGTGCAGAATGTAAAAATAAGGTATATTATGCACTGAATTTTTCATAATGAAGGGCAAAATATTTGGGAAAATAATTTGCCTAAACTTAAGTTTCGTCTATGCATCTGATGCATGTTCATGCACAAATGAGAGATTGCAATCCAATTTAAACAAAATTATTTTTAAAACTAAAAATAATTTTGCAATACCTTTCTTAGTGGAGAAAACAATGGAGCTAAGAACAGTTTGTACATGTACCGCAAAACCAGAAACAAAACACTGAATAACAGTGCTTCTCTTAGGAGTGACGATATTGTGTGATACATCGAGGACCCCATCTAAAGCTATAGTAAAGGAAAACAAAAATCAGTGATAACATTTTCAATCATACTATAAATTAAATTACAATACATTTCCACAAACCTTTGTACAAGTATTTATCCTATCTTTCTTCGTCTATTCTACGATAACGATACAGTAAGCAATGTATATTTTATATGTACAATATGTAACATGTACTATCAGGGACCTATAATAGTATATAGGTCCCTGGTACTATGCACTGTGCATAATGCTACTCGTGAGTACGAAAGGTCGCTATAATTATGAGACGTGCATGCTACACTATCATACAGTCTACAAATATGCAACACAGTCTGACTTTTTTATCGCTGTAACAAATATCACATCTTGTTCATTAAAACATTTAATACACTGACACTCTTCACAACTTTTACTCACCTTTTTCAGTTCTTGTTTATATCTGGAAAGGTCAAGGTCGAAATAAGAGATCGCGCTTGCCGGGAAAATACAAATCCAGAAATCATCTATAGGGCCTACTTATAAATTAATGAATTTTGCAAATAAACTATGAAACGCCTGCACCAGTGTACCTACTCCTCTGATTTTACATTAGGTATGAGATGATGTTTGTAAACTATGTTTAGATTACACTTGCATAGTAATTTTCGTAAATTTAATTAAAAGTCTACTTTCATTTTAAACAGTGTTAAAGAGAGTACGGTGGTGGGGTAGACAGACACCTCGGCCCTAACCAGCTGCTGACAGGTCGGCCCAAAATTATTGACACCTCGGCCCAAAATTATTGACACCTCGGCCCATACTGAATTCGAAGACACCTCGGCCAATGGATTTTTTTTTTATTTTCAGAATTATTATCTGTATTCGCTATGGTAATATAAATGTATGTGTGTATAATGACGATATGTAAACGATAAATAGGAGCAGATAATTTCAGAATTTTTGAACGAACTACAGCATAGATGTCAGCGAGTATCTATTGAGTGCGAGGTAGGAGGTCTATTTATTTATTCATTTTGTTGCTTATTACAATGCAACTTTATTCATTTCATGATGTTAAGAATTCTTTTTTTGGTTAGGATATGTTGAAAATTGCATATAATCTAACAATTATTTTCACTTAAAAATTTTGTGAGGGTCTTTAAAAAACTAACTGGTTTTCAATTTTTTTTTTTTTTTATATTCTATTAAACTAATCCCTATACATGCATTTATAAATTTTAAAATATGATTAAAACAATTTAAAACGAAATCTGTATTAGTTGTTGACATATGTATTTCTACCAAAAATAACAAGCACCCAATGATGGACCTAAGTTCACTTGATTGACGGGGGTACACAGACCAGGTAAATCTGAAGGCGGTGCTTATTATTTGGAGCTTTAATCCTGCTCGTAATTAACTCCTCATTGTCACCATCCCATATGACTCTAAAGGATGCGCCGCGTCTTCTTGTTTGTTTAACGATTAGCACTTTGTAATGGATTATCTTTTTTTTAATTACCGTCAATTTACTCTTGGAAGATTATTCATTTATTTTCTTTCTCGCTTCATGGGATATATAACATTATAATCTGTCGCATAATCCTTGTATAGTCCCTATCATAATAAAATACTTCAGAATATATTGAATAAATATATTCAAAATAATGCATTTTTGTTTGTGCCGAGGTGTCTTTTATGTGAGCCGAGGTGTCTCAAATCTTGGGCCGACCCGGTGGGGCCGAGGTGTCAATGGGCCGAGATGTCGTTGGGCCGAGGTGTCTGACATTCGGTGGTGGTTCCTGTTGGCGGATTTGAGTGTTGGTAAAATGGGAAGGAAACCCGGGCCGGGGTAAATTAAAAACCGGGGCTATTCGAGATTTTTCATACATCTTCGCTAATATTCCACCAATTGACTTGAAATTTTCAGATTGTGTTTCTGAAAGGTTCTTGAGTATATGGCTAGTTGTAAATATCGCCTTGAAATACACAGGATTTTGGATTTTCTAGGCGATTGTGCCAAGTTGGTATCATGACATTTTACCGTACTTTTGACTTATGGGTCAATGAGCCAATATACTTTGGGATTTTCCCGATGTTTAACGCGGTATATTAACTATAACTAATTAGTTTTACATCGAAAACTGCTATAACTGAGCAAAATTTACGCATTTTCAGTCTTTTCTTTTGACGTGGTTTTCTCGGAAATGGTGTAAACTTCTTATCTTAAATCAGACCTGTTTACCCATATTGTTGTCTCTCAGTATTTTTTAATAAATTTGCGAGATTTGGCATTTGCCCATAAGTTTTCACTTTCCATCGATTTTACATATAGTACAAGAAAACAACTACATTTCTGATTGCCACAACATGGTTTGATAACAAAGAAAAACATCATACCGGCTTGCTTTCTTTCGAGGGGTTTCTGTCATTTTTTTTTTAAACCACCGCGATTTGGCAACCCGACATAACTTAAGTGTTTGAAATCTTTCTCATTTAGATTGATTGATTGATTGTATGTTGTTTTACGTCCCATTCGAGAATTTTTCACTCATATAGAGTCGTCACGTCACAATTGCAATATACCGGTGAAGGGCTTCAAATTTTGACCTTTACTCGGCACACAAGGCTATTGAGCAGTGAGGGATCTTTATCGTGCCAACGCCTGACGTGACACGGGGCCTCAGTGTTTAAGGTCTCATCCGAAGGATCCGCAACTTTCACTTCAAAGTGCCGAGCGCATTGTGAACGAACAGTTGCTACCCATTTTTTTTATTAACTTAGGTCAGTCGCGGCCGAGATTGTAACTCACGATCTCCTGATCACGAAGCGAGCGCTCTACCGACTGAGCTACCGTGAACGGTTAAATTCTCTTTTAGACTGTCTGAGACAAACTAACCGTCTGCTAAAATCCAAACGAATTTCCGTATTTCATCATAGCAAAACGTGAGACGTTGTTTGGGCTCAAAAACCGTACAAAATACGGCGAAATCGTAGGAGTAAACAGGTCTGTTAAATGCATTTTACCAAGTGACTTCTCATTTTGTTGACATCATAGTTCACTGGCTGATCACTGTTACCTGTAAAACAAAACTCTGTCAAACTGGCTATGGCATACACCCCACAATCAACACCGTTTTGCTGTTGTTGAACTTCTGCTACTGGAACATTTTTTTTTTTTTACATTTCCGTATACTTTACCAAGCTGGATTTGTGTCGACTGTGAAATGTAATTCTGCTTCTTCTTACAACTGTATAATATCTTGATGTTTTCACCTCCCTCACGTTGAGTGCTTGCAATCCAATGACTGTGTCCAGTGTGATGGATTTATGCCACTGGAGATTTCTTGGGTCTCAACTGAAATTTGTACTCCTACTTATCTTATTTGAGCACTGGTGCATATCCTTATGCTGAAATCCTTGAATGTTTGGGAATTGCTGCTAAGTAATTTATGATGTCACTACACAACATGCAATCATTCAGGATGTCATTTTTATGTTGGAATGTAAGCATTTGTTTCCCATTTTCTGACCATTTCCTTCTTTCATCAGCACTTTCATATTCACATGATATATTTGTATCATCATCTTCCTCTATTTGAATTTGTTAAGGTTGACCTTTCTCGGAATCCACATCATCATCCTCAAACTTTATTCTCTTTCTTGCTGTTGCTTAAAGCTTTCTCGTCATTGTAATCTGATCTTTTTCTTTTCATAATAGATGCAGACTTCTTCATATCCGTTAGAGGCAGTTTGGGCAATGGAGAATCCATACAGTTTTCATCCCATTCTGGATTTCTTTTAACGGCTGAATCTGGGACAGCTATTACTGAAATATCTTGGTCACATGGTCTTGGTTTCTTGGTTCCTGCTTTCTTGTTGGCTTCTTTCCCAATCGCATTAGATTGAATACCCGTTTTTCTTCTATGTCTTGTTCCCCAATGCTCATTTTGACAGCCATGATTTGATAACAAGTACCATGTGATGGACGTTGGCATTTTTCAGGATATAATGACACACTGTAATTATCCCCCTTTGACCCTTTAACAACAAAAGAACCTGCCTCTAAAACATGAAAAACTCTTTTCTTCCACTGTTGCTATCGCTAAGGATCTTTGTGTTGTACTTATGCTTTTCTCTTCTTCGATTGTTGTTGCATTGAGTGTCACACTGCTGTCTTTTTCATCCTCCACACTTCTCGTTTTTTCCTCTGCCAACTTTCCTCTCACAAGATCTATTTTTTCTCTGATGCACAAATATCTGTTTGAGATATCAAATCACTCTTTTCTGCTGCAGCCCCCAATTGGATTTCCTTTAACCTATAATTTCCTACATTGCACAGTCCCCTCATTATCTCATGTACATAGAATTTATGCAAGTAGTTGAAGGCTAATACTGTGGCATCTAATGGTGCCTGCTTCCATTCCATCAGTCGTTTGATGACTGCATTCATGCTCTCTGACATATTATTTGTCACACCAGAATAGGGGTAATAAATTTGGTGGTTTTCTAGTACCCATTTTGAAGAGTACTCTACAGTATCCTGATGTAGCTTAGTCTGGTAGTAGTCAAGGCTTCACTCCAAAACTGTGACAAATTTGCAAGTTTTTCCACATACTCTTCGTCTGTAATATCTCCCTGAGATGACTAATATGAACTGCTTGATCGTCACCTTTTCTTCCATATTGTTTTATCCAGTGCTTTGAAATATGGTTCCAGCAATGTACTTATGTAGCATCTGGCGCTTTCTTTTTGATGATATTTACCACAGTTCTCTCTCTCTATCTGTGACTATCACAGTGAACTCTCTGTTAATATTTGGTACTAGGCTGCAAATTTTCTTCCAAAAATCGTGATGGATTTCCTCAGATTTCCTGTCATTTTAAATGTAAACTGCTACTGGAATTGATGGACTGCACTGAAACAAAACATGTTTTAAAACCAAAACTGAAACAGAAGTCACCAATTAGAAATGTTGTGTCATATGATAGTAGAGGAACTTCATTTGACTTTACTTGAAGATTTTTGTTGAGTTCC